TCAGCACATGTAATGAGGTTGACATGAACATTTGAAAGTAATTCTCTTGATTGGATGCAGCAATTCCAAAGCAAATATTGATTATATCTTAAAAAGATAAAAGGTGAGTTTCACAAATCTCAATCTTTTTTGCAGCATAGTTTGTGAGATTGGAATATGTGCACACTGGGTGTGATATAACTACTTTATTACTAATGTTGCCTCCTTTGATAACTTTTTGGTAAACAAATGTTTGTCGTTTTTATTTTTTATATATTCAGTGAATTATATTGAACAAAATGTTTATCCAGTCTTCACCCATCATTCTTTCAGTTACCTGGCCCTTTGTAAAAGAAAAAAATTGGTGACTCCTGTCTTAGAGGGACAGTGAAATCAGAATTAGTCTGTCTTAAAGTTCGTGAAGGAATGGAACTAAAAAGCCTCCAATTTTGCATTTGTTCTACGGATTATTTTTTTTTATCAGTTCGCCCCAAACAAAGCAATAATGCCAGTAAGATGCAAGGGGTTACTGAGAGTGAAAGGGAATGAAAAAATTTTAGAAGGGAACAAAACCCAGTCCTAAACAGGGAACAAAGGATAAGTCTCTACTCTTGTTCAAAAGACTGGACAAGTGTGCAAACATTAAATACTTTTTCTTTTTTTAAGATCAAGTGAAGTTTTGAAGTTAGCCATTAAATATGACAAGCAATAATCTTAAAAGTTAGTTTCTTTAAATGAAAGAATTTCTGATATTGTCAAATGTTTCTTTAGGCAGAACACTCCTTCTGTTATGTCACAAGAATTCTAACAGCAATCTAGCAAAAATGAAAGCTTTAAGAACTTAGAATCAAAGCTTTAAGAATTTTTAAAAGAAATGAAAATTATCAAAAACAGAATTAATTTTTTTTCAATTTTCTGGATTGAATTAAATTTGAAAACTTAGTTATTGGATTGTCATCAGAAAAAAAATGTATATATAATTTACTATAAAAAAAAGTGTATATTTAATTTACTATAAAAAAAAGTGGATATTTAATTTACTATAAAAAAAAAAGATATTTAATTTACTGTATATTTAATTTATTTATTTACTATAAAAAAAATGTATATATATATAATTTACTATAAAAAAATGTATATATAATATACTATAAAAAAATATGTATATATAATTTACTATAAAGGAAAAAATTGTCATTGAAAGTCTTAATATAACCAAATGAAAAAGATACATAAAATTCAAAGTAAGAAAAAGCTATCTCAAGACAACAAAAAATGAAAATTAATCGGCTTAAGGTCAAAGAGAAAGGTAAACAGAAAGAAAACGGTTGTTCAAAAGTATGAAAAATACTAACACAAACTTGCCTTGGGAAATTCAACATGATTTTAATTGACTGGTCTGCTCATGAAAAAGATAAAGGATTTTTTTTTTTTTTGATCATTTTTGTAGATTAGCATTAGACCTTCCTCCAGCCTCCATTTGCCTGAATCGAAAAATACTATTTTTTCATCATTTTTATAACTAAGACTTCTGTTTATAACATAAATACAGTCTCAAATCGATCCCTGACTTCTTAAAGAATTATCTGTACTTTGTTCTTATTTACAAATGTCAATATTGAAACTGCGCTTACATCATTGATAACAGCATTCGATTACAAATTAGAAAAAAGGACAAATCCAATAGTACACAGTTATCAATGACATACATTTGTTTGTTTTTTTTTTTTTGTTTTACAGCACATCAACATCAATGGGTCATTTAATGCCGACAAAATTTTAGAATAAGTTCACAGAGATAAAATAATCATTCCTTGTAGAATAAGTTTGGTACAGGACTAAATGTTGAAGGTGCATATAGCTGGAATATCATTGTTCAGTAACTCATATTTTTTAATATAATCCCACTTCTCTTAGAAAATGTAATACCTTGGATGGTTTTGTTGAAAAGATCTTTTAAATTGTTCTCATGGCAATGTTTTGCACAAGTTAGGTCAAAGTCTACACAATCCAGCAATATATGTTTTACTGTAAATCTGTCTTGGCATGTATTGCATGTTGGGGCTTCTGTACCCTTCCAGTAAATGGTGATGTAGGTGTGACCTATGTAAAGGCAGGTCAGCACTAACTGTTCTCTTCTATTGTTATTGCATTTAGTGTTCTATTCTCCAATGATGGTTTTAATGTTCAGAAGTTTGTTATTAATAAGGGTTTCCCTATCAATGATGTAGGAACAGCTTCAAATTTGACATTTGTAAATAAAAACAAAATACAAATAACTCTGTAAGTCAGGGATTGATTTGACACTGTATATTATGAACAGGACCCTGCCCTTTCTAAAATTATAAGAAAAAAAATTTTTTTTTAATTCTAACAAATTTCACTGAAAGGTCTAATGAATGCTAATCTGCTAAAATTATTCCCCTGTAAAATTTTCATTTTTTTTTTTTTTATATGTAGACCAGTCAATTTAAATAGTGCCAGAAATTGAAACTGATGAAAAAAATACTGAATGCAATTTTATTAATATTTATTGAGTATAACCTTTAAACTCAATCGGTTAATAAGGTTTTGTCAATTGGGATATACAAATTTCAAAAAGGAGTGTTGGCCAATAAATAAACATCACCATATCAGAAACAAATTCACATATTTTTAGCATTGTTAATTATGGTAACATTATTTCTCCTCATATTATTGCAATTTGACATGCTTCATTAAAAAAAATGAAATAAAAAACCCAGACCACCATTTTAATACTGTAGCTGGTCATTACTGTGCAAACAAATAAGTTTATTATTTCCTACATCAGGATAAAGAAAAGACAAAAGGGTAGGAGTAAATAAATGAAAGAAATAAACAAATAAAAGCCATTAATGTAGGCATGTAGTAGCAGAAGCAGCAACAGTATTGGCAGCAGAGGAAGTATAGCATAAGTAGGCCATGACTTCCAAAAGGTCAACATCAACAGAATCAGATTGTCTCTCCCATTACTTTTCAATTTATTCAAAATTCTTCATTTTAAGCATTTTATAAACCAAAAGTAAGATTTACAAACATTAATAACAGAAAATAAATTTGCAACACACTGAATATGTGTTTCAGTTTACTCAAAATTAGACACATAAGTAACGTTACTAAATAATATAAATAAATTGTTACACCCTAAATATGTGTTTCAATTTACCAAAATTAAAAACACATAGGTAGCATGATGCATGCCTAACATAACAAAAGGGAAGGTACAGATCAAAAATATTTATGTTCAAGATCATAATTCCAAGGGTCAAAAATCTATTTTGCAAGTTCAATGTCAGAAAATACTGGAAGGCATGAAACAAAAGGGTAAAAAAAAAAAAAAAAAAAATTCACCTCACAACACACAATTACCCTTCACTCATGAAGAACCAATACAATCCTGTGATCCAAAGTAAGATTCTTTTATTGGAGTAAGAAAGGTTGTGATCAGTCAAAACTGGTAGGGAAGTACAAACCATATCTTGAAGCCATCTAAAATCAACCCAACCTTAATGTTGATGTTTTTTTTGGGTAATTGAACAATGTTTTATCCCTATAGCATAATACTTCCATGACACGGGATTTTATCTTATGTTATTGCTTAAAGCTTAGTATGTTACTATATCTGGGCTGGAGCTTCACAAACCTTTCCAGCCTCGACAGAGTTCAAAAGTGTTTGTACAGCCTTGTAGGCAATTATTTTCAACCCTACAGCTCCTTTCTCTCAGACAAATCATCACAAGCATATTGCTCTTTCCACTGCAAATGTTCAGACAAGCTATATTCCACCAGTTCGAACATTCACAGTTCGGCCCAGATAAGTCACAAATATTTTGAGTTAAAAAAAAATTTAAAAAGGCCCAAAATTATTTAACAAAACATTGACTACCAAGTAGCATACACAAATTGTACCCAGAACAGACACACTGAGTGTTTCAGGGTGTTGCAATTTTATCTTCCATCAATGTGTGCAAATGTCTTGATTGAAAACTAACAATTTTTTTTTTTTTTTTTATTATTATTTGTTCAGGCTATTTTTCTGGTTTCCATGGAAAATTTGAACATAAACTGCCCAATGTCTTCAGAGTGTTTTTGTTTTGTTTTTCATGTATTGATAAAGTTTCTATAGGGAAGCATTGCATTTCTTTGAGGGCTTTCAAGTGTCACATCTTCATGCATCAGTGAATATCTATAAATAATACGATAATAAAACACAAGAAAACTATTAAATACTTATGACAAAAATACTATGTAAACATTTTGTTGGTTTTTACAAACCAACAAAATGTGCTAACATTAAAAAAAACAAAATTGATAAATTTCATTAGATTAGATAAACATACTAAATATATTCCATAATTAAAAAAAATTTAAATGCAAAATGACACCACCAACTGATGCATGAAAATGCAATACTTGAACAACTCAAAACTATACATAGCAACACATGAAAATAGAACATCTTGAAAAACCAGCATAGAAACATTGCATATCTGTCAACACAACCTTATTCATTCATAAAATATTTGATAATGGCTTATGAAAGCTAAAAATGAATAGAAAAACATGGAACAATTTATGTTCAAAGTCTGCCTGGAAAGCAGTCAGAAATGAAGACAAAAATAATATCTTAAAGAAATTTCTTTGGTCGTCAACATATGTCCATAAATGACAAAAATGCTGCCCAAATACAAGCAGTGTGTGTGTGTGTCCACATATAACTTTAAGAAAAATATCTCATCACTAAATTCAAATATTATGCCCTTGAAATGGGCTACACTTGATTTCAAATAAAATGAGAGGCATCAAGATCATCCTAGTCTATATGTTGTTGTTATTGACCTTTTCATTTGGAATGAGAAGAAATAAGGGTGAAGAAAAAAGAAAAAGATAAACTTTGTTTTAAGTAAAATGTATCCTATTACAAAAACAAAAGAAGTCAATGACAGCGCAATGACTGTATGAAGTCAACTGTTAGCCAGTGCAGTACACTTCTTACATACCAGATGGGGAACCTTCACTATAATTACTCCTGGTACCTGCAACAATTGGGAGGAAACTCAAGGTCAAAAAATGTCACATAACACACAATGTGACTCAAGGAAAAGACAGAATTTTTCTATCTTTACAGTTCTATGGCTCAACTGCAAACAAACATTTTCAACTGCAGTTAATGGGTTAGGGAAGTGTTGAAAAAATTAGAGACAACCCACACACCCCAAAATGCGTAGCACCTCATTTTGTCTAAATGTTGGCAATGCAACATAGCATTATGTGTACAAGGTGGTGGAATTACGCGAGTACAATCTGGGACCGTCCATAACCGAGCAGAGTTTATTAGGTGTTGGTGAAGGGAATTTAGTGAGATCTGCAACATGTCTCATACTTGGTCAATGGGGGGTTGAAATATGAGAAATGTCCCTGGAATCAGTTTCATGGTGGAGGAGGGGTTATTATGCCGAGTCAAGTTTATAAGTTGTAGAAGGCAGGGGAGAAAAAAAACTAAACTGGGGTCTCTAATTTTCTGGCACTTCCATTTATTTTAAACAGTCTCTTTTGAGAAAGATACTGAAAAAAAAAAGAAAAGAAAATGGAAAAAGAAAGACAAAGGAACAGAAAGAAAAGAAAAAACTAGAAGTAAAAGAAAAATATCTTCCACCTTTCACAGAATATAACTTCAAAGAATTTCAAGTAATATCAGGAGAGATAAAAAGATCATGGCCCTAAACCTGACTAAATGACCTTGAAAACAATTTCTTTTTAATCGCTTATTGGTGAGAGGCAAGATCTTTTCAGTACCTCACCTCCATAATACCAATTTTAAACTGTTATCAGTCCTTCTCTTTTTACCTGAGGAAATATTCTTTAATAAACATGAATACTTTTATCTTGCAGCTTTGTAGAAGCCCAAACACTTAATTTAAGATTTCCTCATTTCATAATTACTGGAATTGAAATGAAAATAAAAAGATATCCCAGCAGCCAATAGAATTTTAATGGTAGACTAACAACCAAACATCAAAGGAGTCAATTCCTTGGGTCACTTTTTACATTTATGCTTAAAGGCTGAAACTAATGAAACCATATACATGATAAAAGTAAATAGACACAAATCTACTCAGATTTCATATTGAAAATTACTCAATTTACAAGTAAAACTGAAAATAATTGCAGAATCACTTCACAATATCTCTTACTCCAGGTACATGAGAATTGTCAGATTTTCAGCAGGAGTGTATTGCTGGTCAATCTTGAAAATGGAATTGTATGAAATCTGGGAATTCTACTTTCAAGTTCAAACTGCAGGATTAAACAATTCACTAACAATAGAAAACCACTGCCCAGTTAATGTAATAATGAATTCAAAAAGATAATATTTTTGGAGAACTTGTGGCACATTATGAGCACCAGTTCTCTGTATTTGGCTCTTCCAAAAAGCTTTGTTGGTTTTGCACAAGTCTTCACCACTATAATCAAATCATATATGCAAATAGACTGGCTGTTCAGTTCTAAGAGCTGAGCTGCTGTAGTCTCATACATAGAAAATGATGAAAGAGACATCTCTGCTTAGCTTCAGATTATATAGTAGGGTAAACTGAGATCTTTAATCATGATTGGCAAACATTCTAGGAAAAGGACAACTCTGAATTCAAAACATAAAGAGGGTCATTTGAAGAACATGTGGCACATTATGAGCACCAGTTTTCAGTATTTGGTTCTTCCAAAATTCCAAAAAGTGTGGTTGGTTCTGCACAAGCCTTCACCAATATAATCAAATCATATGTGCAGGTAGTGTGGTTGTTGGTTCTATTGAGCTGTTGGACACTCATACTTAAAAAAAAAAAAAACTGAAGTGAGAGTCTAGTATATGAGTAGACGCTGAGGCTAATACCAAGTGACAACTGTTTATTTCATGGTTGGCCACAATCTTCAGGCCATAAAGATGGCATTTAACAGACTGTTGCCACTTTTTGTTGGCCTCAGTGTTCACTCTTATATTTACACACACTATCCCAGATACTAAGCACTTTTACTCATAAGTATAGCATACCATATATATATGAAAAATAAGTGTATTTACTTTAGTCATCTCTTCATAGTTTCTAAAAACCAAGACTTATAAACACAAGATATTTTTAATATAATTAATATCATTATAAAAAAAGATATTTTTTAAAATAAGAGGAAAATGGACAAGTATAAAAGATAATCACCATAAATGGCAAGAGAAAGAAAAAAAAAACACAATGAAAATTGGAGAGAAAGGAAAAAAAAACAATCAAAATTGGAGAGAAAGGAAAAAAAAACAATCAAAATTGGAGAGAAAGGAAAAAAACAATCAAAATTGGAGATAAAGAAAAAAAAACAATCAAAATTGGAGAGAAAGGAAAAAAAAACAATCAAAATTGGAGAGAAAGGAAAAAAAAACAATCAAAATTGGAGAGAAAGGAAAAAAAAACAATCAAAATTGGAGAAAGAAAAAAAAATCAAAACAAAGGAAAAAAAACACAATGAAAATTGGAGAAAGGAAAAAAAAAAACACAATGAAAAAAAAAAAAAAACACAATGAAAATTGGAGAGAAAGGAAAAAAAACAATGAAAATTGGAGAGAAAGGAAAAAAAAACACAATGAAAATTGGAGAGTGAGGAAAAATAAACAATGAAAATTGGAGAGTGAGGAAAAATAAACAATGAAAATTGGAGAGTGAGGAAAAATAAACAATGAAAATTGGAGAGTGAGGAAAAATAAACAATGAAAATTGGAGAGTGAGGAAAATAAACAATGAAAAAATTGAAAAAAAATAAACAATGAAAATTGGAGAGTGAGAAAAATAAACAATGAAAATTGGAGAGTGAGAAAAATAAACAATGAAAATTGGAGAGTGAGAAAAATAAACAATGAAAATTGGAGAGAAAGGAAATAAAAAACACAATGAAAATTGGAGAGAAAGGAAATAAAAAACAAAGAAAATTGGAGAGAAAGGAAAAAGAAAACACAAGGAAAATTGGAGAGAAAGGAAATAAAAAACACAAGGAAAATTGGAAAGAAAGGAAATAAAAAACACAAGGAAAATTGGAAAGAAAGGAAATAAAAAACACAAGGAAAATTGGAAAGAAAGGAAATAAAAAACACAAGGAAAATTGGAAAGAAAGGAAATAAAAAACACAAGGAAAATTGGGAAAGAAATAAAAAAACACAAGGAAAATTGGAAAGAAAGGAAATAAAAAACACAAGGAAAATTGGAAAGAAAGGAAATAAAAAACACAAGGAAAATTGGAGAGAAAGGAAATAAAAAACACAAGGAAAATTGGAGAGAAAGGAAATAAAAAACACAATGAAAATTGGAGAGAAAGGAAATAAAAAACACAATGAAAATTGGAGAAAATAAAAAACACAATGAAAATTGGAAAGGAAAAATAAACAATGAAAATTGGAGAGTGAGAAAATAAACAATGAAAATTGGAGAGTGAGAAAAATAAACAATGAAAATTGGAGAGTGAGAAAAATAAACAATGAAAAAGTGAGAAAAATAAACAATGAAAAATTAAAATAAAAAACACAATGAAAATTGGAGAGAAAGGAAATAAAAAACAAAAGAAAATTGGAGAGAAAGGAAATAGAAAACACAAGGAAAATTGAGAGAAAGGAAATAAAAAAACACAAGGAAAATTGGAAAGAAAGGAAATAAAAAAACACAAGGAAAATTGGAAAGAAAGGAAATAAAAAAACACAATGAAAATTGGAAAGAAAGGAAATAAAAAAACACAAGGAAAATTGGAAAGAAAGGAAAAAAAAACACAAGGAAAATTGGAAAGAAAGGAAATAAAAAACACAAGGAAAATTGGAAAGAAAAGGAAATAAAAAAACACAAGGAAAATTGGAGAGAAAAAATAAAAAACACAAGGAAAATGAAAAAAAAAACACAATGAAAATTGGAGAGAAAGGAAATAAAAAACACAATGAAAATTGGAGAGAAAGGAAATAAAAAACACAATGAAAATTGGAGAGAAAGGAAAAAAAACACAATGAAAATTGGAGAGTGAGAAAAATAAACAATGAAAATTGGAGAGTGAGAAAAATAAACAATGAAAATTGGAGAGTGAGAAAAATAAACAATGAAAATTGGAGAGTGAGAAAAATAAACAATGAAAATTGGAGAGTGAGGAAAAATAAACAATGAAAATTGGAGAGTGAGAAAAATAAACAATGAAAATTGAGAGTGAGAAAATAAACAATGAAAATTGGAGAAAAATAAACAATGAAAATTGGGGAGTGAGAAAAATAAACAATGAAAATTGGAGAGTGAGAAAAATAAATGAAAATTGGAGAGTGAGAAAAATAAATGAAAATTGGAGAGTGAGAAAAAAAATAATGAAAACGAGATATAGAAAAGAAAACTATAGAAAAAAGAAAAGAAAATTAAAGAAACAAAAGTAAAGCTAACTGGTTCTAGTTCCTTTCTCTTCAGAATTCAAAGGCTCTGAATGAAAACCAGTCAGATTTTTCTTTCACTTTCTTTTTTTTTTTTTTAATTGACATTAATGATGATTATATCTTGTTCCCATCCAGTTTCTTCTCATTTAAATAAATATCTCTATAGCATTAATTATACCATACTCCCAAGAATAACTTTTCATTATGTTCACTTTTTTTTCTTCCAATAGATATGCAAAATTTGAAAATTATTTTCAAAATTAAAATTTAAATAAAACCCACCTAAAACCAGATTTTGATTCACAAATAAATTCAAAATTGTGTTCAGTGTCGGTAAAAGTTTTTGAAAAAATTTTAACATTTGAAACAAAGCAAGAACAACAAAACCAAATAAGGAGTTGTACTTTCACCAGTTGAAAGAGAGATGGACACAGCTGAAACTCAAAAGATACTTACTGGAAAGTTCGTCATAGGCTTCACTATTTGGTCGTTCTGATTCACTGTCTGAGGATCGTGGTGACAGGCTTCGCCTGGACGATGGAGGGGTTGGTAGCATGTACTTCTGCTTTCGAGATGATTGCTTGGGTTTCAAACCGGCTTTCCTTACTGTCTTTATCAAGGTTTTCTTGGCAAATTGTCTGAAATCAACACCACTATAATCCTTTACGTCTTCTTTTGTTCTAGAATTATTTAACAGCAAAACATTTGTGTAGCAATCTTGTCTTACTTCACCAAGGAAAATATCCTTGTTACCAATATTTTACATAGATTAATTAATGCACCACATATCAAATATCAGCCAGCTCTCAGCGGAACTGGTGACCAACTCATAATTTTATTTTTTTTTTTAACAATGTCACCTTCCTTAGTGACAACTCCTTTCCCTGATTACTAATGAAACTGAAAAAGAAATTTGACAAGCAACGAGAAAGAGCTTTTTCAGTCAATACTTGCGATTTTTAAGCCATACAAAATAATAAACATCTCAAAGCACACCCAACAATCATAAGTAGTTGTGATTTAAAAACAGAACAAAATTTATTTTTCACTTTCATATACAAGAGAGAAATAAAGATCATTATATATAGCTTTACAATTTAATATTTAGTTTAAGTAATAATAAATGAGAAAATATCTTTTCTTTGTTCACAAAGATTAAAAAAAGAAAATTTGGAATAGTCATCTAACAGAGGTCCATTATGCTTAATTAGATGAAGGTATAATATAATCAAGTGTTCATTGTCATTTTTACTTATTGAGTATTTTGAACAAAAACAAAACATTTATTTTATTTACTGATTGGTTGAAGTGACAATCTTGCAAACTTCTAAAAATCATTAATTATAATTATTAACTAAAAACACAAAGAAAAGGGATGGAAAATTAAGGAACTTACTTAATAGTTGCATTTTTCTCTTTCTGTTTATGAATGGGTGTAGGTTGGAGCGTGCTGTGGCCAACGAATGTGAACGTATCAAACACTCTGACTGGGTTGCGTACTTTATGAACCAATTTTCTAAACGTCTCTACATTATCAGATCCAACTTCTTCATCAAAAACAATTTTCATCAACTGCAAGCAAGAGTGAAATTAAAAAAACTGAGTAAACAGGTTCAAGCAAAAATTGTTTTTTTTCTTTTTTTAGATAATTAAGACAAATTTTGTTCTACAGAAGGATGCTGAGGACAAAATGGACCAAATATATGAGCAACAACAAAATTTTATAAAAAAAAAAAAAAAAAAAGGAAACTTATAGTTAACATTAAGAATAGACAGTTGAAATTTCTAGGAAACATGAGGAAAGAGGGCTTGGAAAATTTGACACACACAGAGCAGATTGAAGGCAGAAGGGACTGAGGAAAAACAATGCATAACCTACTTAGTGAGCTTCAGTAAATGGATGGCAAAAGAGAAAACAAGACAAAATTTATTAAGAGCTACAAAGAACAGGAAGTTTACTGTAGATGACCTTGCAATCAAATTTGCAAAATGAGGAGAAGCAGGTTTTTAAAATATACACATATCTTTTTTTTTTTATTATTATTATTTTATACATTATTTTTGTTTATTAAAATAAGTATTTTATCTAAACTGTTGTTGCCTTTTGTTTTGATTTCTTCAGTTGTTAAGGACCTAGACATGTTTATTTAGCTTAATGATTAATCCGCAGACAGTTGAGTGACAGAATTCATGCAATCTTTTTTGAAGTTAATATCTTAAACTTAAAATCCATTACCAAAAAAAACAAAGAAAAAAAACTTGAGGAGCATTAAAGAAAGGTCAAAGTTGAAAACATGGAAGACGCTCAAATTTTTTCAGATCGTTCTAACTATTGTCTGGAAGATGGGAGATGACCATCTGATTCATGCCTCTGCAGTATATAAAATGTTATATATTAATTTTAATTAGCTAATTTACAATACATACACACACACATATAAATTTTAGTCCAATGAAGTCCTAAACCTGTCATACATTATATTTTTTCTCCAGTTTGTCGTCATCATATATATATATATATATATTTAAAACATCTCATAATATGTCAGATTTTTCATACTTTTTTTTCCAGATCTTCAATTAATTAGTCATAGAAAAATTTACAGTGGTGGAAAGAACCAAAATCCATTCAGATGGAAATGAGCTTTGTGACCCATACTCAATATCTTCATTAGCCAGTCTCTGAAATTGGACCAAGTAATTTAAGCATTATCAATGTCAGTTGCATCTTCTGTACAAATTGCACTTTGTATGGGTATAGGTGCAAATTGTCTCTCAGTATGCAATGCAAGGGCATCCAAGACATCTTCAAGTGATCTAAATATTTGTAAGCAATGTTCCTGGTTCAACAAAGTCTTGCACATATCTATGATTCATCTGCAAATAGTCTGTATATGAACTTCTATATTGTGACAAGTCACCTATTGAGCCATGTTGGCTAAAATGTTGAATCTACCAATGAATAATGAAAGCCAATGGTGGTTTTCTGGTATAGAACTGTCAACAATACTCTCTTTGTTACAAAATGATGAATCTGTTAAATCCAAAATAAAATTCTACGATTTTGGTTCTTTGTTCTGTTGTGAATTTTTCCATGGGAAATTTCCCTAGGTTAAACTAAGTTCTGAAAAAAGATAAATAAATAAAATGTATGAAAAATCTGACATGTTACAACACTTAAATACCTAGGTGACATTTGGGGGTGCCTTATATATCTCCATACAGAAGCTTGGATTAATAAGACCCTGGCTGAACACAGCTATTATAGCTAAAATTTTCACTGTATAAAATGTGTTGTATATATACAGTTAATTATTAAATTAAGTGCATTGACAAGATTATATTTAACAATAAATGAGAAAAATAAGCAACTTTTTTAATCTGATATTTTATATATATATATATGGCACAAAATTTCAGATATAACTAAATTCTATAAAAAGGACACTATGAATAAGGTTTCCCTTTTGTGTATGTGTATATATATATATATATATATATATATATATATATATATTATAGTGAATATACATAATATCCAATGTCGATAGCACAACTGAGTTTCATGCAGTTCTTGCAATCTTCAGGTGCGGGGAATATGCTCTGCACCTGAAGATTGCAAGAACTGCATGAAAGTCAGAGTTGTGTTATCAACATTGGATATTACTTATATTCACTAATATATACTTATAGCTCTGTTACATAACATTGAGCACTATATTTATAACACCAGAGGTAGAAATATATTTATACGTACATGCAAGTATATTTTTATCATACACACACGTGTGTGTGTGTGTGTGTGTGTGTGTGTGTACACACAACTGGTGATGCTAAAAAGTTCTTAGGCCAACCTACTTCCCAAAATTATTTTAATACCCAAATATCAAAATGCCGAGACATTTTCAACACCCTCTTATAGAATGCTACAAAATGTTAAATGATTTCATCATTTTAAGAGCAACCAAAATGATAGTACAACTAATAAAAAATACGCCAACAATCACTTACCTGAAATATACTGGAACGTAGCTGAAGGCCCTCATGCAACCACTGGTCTAAATGTTGCAAATACTGAACACTGATACGCTTTTCCCGAGTGAGTGTGGACACTGGGAAACAGCGTACCACAATCTGTTCACAAGCTGTACAAATTAGAAAAACAGTTAACATTTAATAAAAAGAAAACAAAAATTACACAAATGCAACTACAAATAACTCTATGAAACAAATTTCCTGTTTTATTTAACAAATATTGGCCACAGCTGTCAGAAACCAGAAACTCAATTATAAAAAAAAAAAGAAAAAAGAAACACAATATGATTTTTATTTGTTGGTCATTCAGCCTAATTCTTACTTTATTAATGATACAGTATTGTTATTTTTTAAGTGGCAACATTTTGTTTCTACTTTGTTCTCTTAGGATATTTTTGACTTTCAATGACTTAAAAAGTATATTTCTTTCTTATATATGACATTAGAGTTAATGTAGAGATGAAAAAATATATATATATATGCTAGATTGAACATTCAGAAAATATAACGAATACTATAGAATATCAGATAAATGTGCTTGTCCCTCCCTCCGTTAGTTTGTACGGCCACCTTGCCAATACCTCATAAATAATAGACTATTCTGTTTTGATCATGCGGAAAGAGGGGGGGAAAAACACTACTTGGTTTCAGTGAAAGAAAGAAAAAATAAGTGAAGATAGAAATGTTTAACACTCATAAATAATAGACAATTGTTTTGGTTGCGTGAAAAAACAGACATATCAGACACTACTTGGTTTCAGTGAGAAAATGAATGAAAGAATAAAAGAAAGGGAAGATAGAAGTGTTTAACGTCTGTTTCAGTGAAATGGAAAGAGTTGTTAACTTCAAATCTTTTCATTTGTACCCACTTAAAATAATGACCAGCATTCCTATTTATGATTGTTATTTCAATATTTTGTTAAAGTTGTTAAACTCAAATACTTAACGATGTGAGAGAATTTATAAGGATAATTTGTTGTCATAGAACTTGCCATCAGCTTATTCAATCATCAACTTAAGAATTAAGATTCATCAGAAAATTCAAATAGGAAAACTGCAACATATTTACGGGTCTTTCTAGTTTATTTAAATATTTCTGTCCTCTTATTTTGGCAGTAGACATAAATTAGACAATTGTATATTTAAAAACAAGTTCTTACCAAGAGTTAGATCTTGTAAATAATCTAGTATACTATCATGTACCTAAGTTTATTTTTCTGGAAGGGGGAGGGTATAATAACTGAGTGGTTAGAAATTTCTTGTGAATTCTTAGTTTGTAGGCAAATCAAAATAAATTGGTATCACTAGCATGCTCTGTTGAGGGGGGTGCCTTAAAGTATAACAAACTTGAAGGGGGTCATAATAATTGAATATAGTTGTTAAAAAAAGCAACAAAAAAAAAAAGAAATGACTTATTAGGCATGGAAGTGTATATTTCAAATAAATAAATAACTTGTTTTTAAATAAAATAATAATTTTAAATATATTCAGCCTTTGCTGAAAAAGTAGTTTGTTTAAAAAGTATCATCAGCACATACAAAAATCTGCTATTTTTAACGTTGCCTCCTATAGGTTCTAATTTAAATACAGTCTATTGCATCTTGTAGATTTAGATAGGTTATTTTACCAGCACACCAACCCAACAGGTCATTTCACAGAGAATCGGATAATTTTAAGACTTATTTTTATTTTGTGTCTATTTTGCAGTCAAATTCTTTTATAAGTCATTATTATATAAGGGTGAGGATGTAATTTGGTTTTAGTTGCATTTTGTAGCCAGGTATTTATTCAGTTTCCTTTTTATATTTTGAAGTAGAGTTTTGTTACTTTTAAGAATTCTAGAATGGCTTTGGATTCGACACTCTCAAAGAGGGTGCATATTGTAGAAAGGAGACAAACTTTTCCAGATTCCATCAGATTGTAGCTTATATTTTTTCATTGAACTTTATTTCTTTCGGCACGGTAGAACTACTTTGGGTTTCATTCAATAATTCTGCGATACAAGAGTAGAAGAGATTCAATTCCAGATGTGACAATTCCTTAACTACTTAACTTTTCTGAAGCGATTCCAGGAAAGAACAACCCATTTAAATGACAGAATGACATTTTGTAGGATTTAAGCACCAATAAAGGTTTAATTACACCTTAGTTTATTTTTGCCTCAAACAGGATTGCAAATAGATTAAACCTTTTGGTTTAAAAAAAAATAAAATAAAATAAAATAAAAGTGCACTTGAATGGTTGTGATATTTTAAAACACAAGCTACTTACCAAGTGGGTCACAAGGAATGCCCTTGAAAATGATCCTATAGGTGGTGAGGAAGACAGCTCCTTCAGCAGGTAACAGGCAGGGTCCACCAAGACTGCCACCCACACCTTCTTCACGTCCATCAGGCAGCAGGTATACCCGCAGACCATCCATGACAATCTCTTCCCCTGGCAAAATGGTTGGCAGCAGGATTTTGGGCTGAAATTACAGACATAGTTATAGTGAGTTACTATACTTTGTTTTTTTCTGTTCAAAAGACTAGAAGAGTCATGGTGTCAAAATAAAAAAAATGGTAATTTCAAAAAATATTGTGAATTCCTACAATAATAAAATTTCAAAGATGAATAAAGTTCCATAATATTTTTATGTTCGCGCCCTTCAAGACATAGGTGATTATGACTCTCCACAGATTCCTCTTTTTTCTTTTTTAAATCACTTATGAATTGCCATGACTTCTTGAGAAAGATAGTTGTTTCCCAATTACCTTCTCCATGGCTATAAATCTCATGTCCCTTCAGGACATCGGCAAACACAGCCTTTCACAGATTTCTTTTCTTTATTATCTGTGGACTGCCAATAGTGGAGTGAACTCTCTATTGCTTTCTCAATGGTTTGGAGTATTAGTCCTCCACAATTGGCTGCTACCCAAGGCTAGAGAGCCCTGTTATTTAACCTATAGCTGGAGAGAGAAGAGATGGATTCATACCTTTTTCAAGTGCATAAGTGAACACAACAGAATAGACCAGGATTTGAACACTGCTAGCCATTTTCATTTCCCATGACAATAACTGTTATGCTATCTACAGCAAGTTTTGAATTCAGCATATTCCTTTTCCTTGACTGGTTACCAGTCAACCTTGTTATGTACACTTTAAAAAACACTGCTTAAGTAAAAGGAAGCAAGAAAAATATGAAATCTTAATAGATTTCATATTTTATTTTTCTTGCTTAATAATTAACTTAATAGTTAATTTTTTTAAGTTGGTTAGAGTATTAATGCTCTGACCTGGGTGGGAATCCCATCATGGTTGATTTGCCAAAGAGGTCATTTTTTAGTAATATCTACACAAGAGAATCCCAAAATGTGGTGTCATTAGGAAGTGCTTGAAAATCAGTTGACCCAAGCCATGTAAGAGAAAATAGGATACAGGCAAAACTGTTCAGAAGTTATTATGCTAGCATGAAGTAACAAGTCATTATGACCAAGAGTCTGGTCATACTGACCATGTTCAATCACTGTGAACTGTTGGCCCTGAAACAGTAATTACAGTCCACTTAGGACAGTTGCAGTATCAGCCATAGGTTAGCTCTGTAGGTGGGGTGGTAAAACAGAAAATGTGAGAAAATTTGTGGAAAAGAGATTAGCTTGCAACCCTAGCAGACAGTCAAACCTGGAAACAAGTAGCAACCATCATTATATATAATTTCACCTTGAGCAAGACGACAAAGCCACTAAGGTGAAAGGGATTACTGAATGTGAAAAAATCTGAGAAAAAAAAAAAACATTAAAGAAAGAGGCCAATAAAAGAATAGGAGTTAAGATGACAATTGACATTGCATTTAAATTTTTCCAGATCCAAGTTGACTGGGAAGCAAAAAGCTGGAAGAGATTTCCACAAGCGAGAAGTGCAATAGAAGAAAATTTTAGCATGGAACTTATGATTACATCTAACCATTTTAACTGTAAAATAATGAGACCTAGCCACCAATCTCGTACTGCACTTACATTTGTTGTAATGTCAAGGTACTAAAGAGAAAAGATG